CATTCCTGCCTGAAATGAGTTCTGGCTTTCTCTAAAGCTTGAGTGATCCTGCAGTCATTCAGCTTTTTTTTTTGTCCACTCTTACCTTCTCACTGTCCTCAAGGTGTCTTGTAAGTCTTGCAGATAAAATTCAGCCACTTTGGGTGTCTGTCTGCTGTCCGGCAGCAGGAGCGCATTAGAGGAGGTGCTGTTCAACCTGCCAGACAAACCAGAGAAGGTGAGGGCAGCGTCCCCTCAGCTCAGGTGAGCACAGCAGCATGCACAGGTACTTGTTTGTACAGTGGTGCCTATATCACCTCCCACTTGGTGTTCTTAAAGTGGCACAATCCTTTCCAAAGACAGGATGTAGCTGTTCTGCCTTGATCACAGTTTGCGCAGGATTAGCAAAACAATAGTGGCTGTTCATGCATGCATAAGCTGCTTTAGGAGACAGTCACTTCTAGTGAAAAATGATGGGCCTTTTTTTTTGCCAAGAAACTATTTGGTCTTTCCTTGGAAATCATCTTATTTACTCAGAAGTGAATAATAATAACAGTAACCAGTCAGAATCTGAGTTATTTAATGAGTAGCACATGCATCCTTCAGAGCATGAGGGCTGATACCTCCAAGGTTAGTGCAGATCCAAGCGGTCCCTGTCTCCAGCTCTCTTCCACCTATGTATAGTCAACAACCCGTTTGCTACTTACAAGCTAGGCTGTATTTAAATATTTTAAAAAATCACAGCTACAGTCAGATTACAGTATCTATTTTATGGAGCAAAAGCACATAGAAACCCTTTCAGAGGCTTTCCTAAGCCAGCTCTGGCTCTGCTCTGCACTGTTGTGGTGGGGTGTTACATGGTCCTGAGCACTGGCCCTTCTGACTGTACACAGTGCTGCATCTGGCACTCATCTGATCACAAGGAAAGATGTGAAGGCCAAACCACAGCCTGAGTTAAAAGCCCATAGGTGGAGACACTGAAGTCAGTGCAACTTTCTTGTGTAGGAGTGGATATATCCAAAGAAGTGTGAGTTTGCAACTACTAAAACTAAAATTCAGACTTCAAGAATGTCCCTTTAGACCTCAAAATCACCAAGTGGCAATTGGTCTTGTAAAACTCTTACAAAACACAGAAAATATTGATGAGGGTATTTTTACAGAAAATAAAAACTGTTAGGAATATTTTTTCATATGATTGATATTTTTCTAGAATGAAAAACAATATTCTGAACATATGTTTGTGGAAAAAATGTTTCCTACTGTACAAGACGGAGTCAGTATAATTTCCCCCAACTCAATATGCAACTTCCATCTCTCTTGATATTGGCACAAATATTACATTGATTGTGCCAAAACTAGGTTTCTTTCCAATAAATCTGCTTATCCAGTTTTTTACTAAGATTTAGATTAAATTGTTAGTCCTGGTGGTGGTGACATTAGTCTTACCTTTGGAAACGATGCTTTCCATGGGCTGAAAACTGAACATCACATAGTTTGGCTTGCCAGCAAGTGCAGTAGTCCAGTTTATGCGCAAGTAGTGGTCAATATAGGGCAAATGATGGCAGTCTTAAAAGGCACAGATAATATTTAAGGTTAAAGTAGGGTGGATTAAGCTTTTAAATTAAGTTAATAAATATTTCAGAAAATAACTTTGATGTAACAGGTTGCCAGCTTGGGGAAATTTTGTGTCTACAAATCAGAGGATGCTTTCCTGCCCTCTCATTAAGATTTAGGAAATAAATTAGGTTCCCAGGTGCCAAACTGATATCCTTACCAGGACAAGACCACTAGTTCCAAACCTGTCTGCTGTCAGCAGGGTTGCTGGAGGAAGCAGCTTCAGGCACGGTGAGAAGTATTTCCTTTGTTTGAGGTTTCGAGTCCACAAGTTGCTACAATGTCACAAGAGGGCTAGCATCTTTTAAGTCCTTTCACAGTCCTTCCAGAGAGCCCACAGGGAAAAATGCTCAAATCAGGGTGGTGGGAGAACATAAATGCTCTGGCACATATTCATGAAGAGTGACACTGAAGGCAGCCATTTTCTTTCACATATCTGAAATTAGCTCTAATTTTGTGACAATTCTGTAAGCCCCTGGATATAAGAAGCAGGATTATAGGAAAAAAAAAACACACAAAAAACCCCAACAAACCCCCTCCCCCCCCCCCAAACTAAACCCAAACTAAACCAAAAAAACCAACAAAAAAACCTTACCATGGCTTTAAATATTTTGGGGGTCAATCTTCACCTTCAGGCTGATATTAATTGTTGTAAACTTCCTTAACTTTATATGATGAGTGGAAAACTACAGTGCAAAGTGATGCCTGTGTTGCTGTTTCCTTGTTGCTTGTGGCAGAATTAGTTTCACAACAGGAGTCACGCAAGGCTTGAAGGCTGTGGGTGGGTGAGCTGCTGGGTGCAAGCAGATACTGGGGAGCTGTAAAACATTTGCAAGTAAGAGGAAGAATAGAGATGAAAGTGGAACAGTGCCTATGGACTTAATAATTTCCTCTGTATGTATCTGTTTCAATTTGGTTAACATAGCAACATAACTGTCCACCTAGATTTTACGTGATCTAGGATTCAGTAGTTCATATTTTTGGCTGTGCTGTCCAGAAACAGGGCATTAGCTAACAGCTTGTGGATTTCCTTATGTGCTGAATAGATGCATTGCATAAACTGAAGACTTAGCTCACAATTTTTCTCTCTGCCTGTGTTGGGATGACTTTATGGTTCCTAGGAGAGGGAAACATAGTCCTATTTAGTATGCGTTATTGTGATGAAGGATTTGAATATTGCTGAAGTGAATAATTAAGTAACCTGTGAAGAAGACCACCTGAAGGTACCAAATTGTTCAAGCAGAAAGGTGTCTTGGTTTCACATTAGCCCTGTTGCATTAATCATCCTAAGTAAATACCTGTAAGATAAATTGCTTAGTTTGCAGAGCATAACAGAGACCATGACACCAAGCAGAGGACTGAACAGGGAGGCCAGAAGATCCATGACTTGTCACAGAACAGGTGGTGAGAACCATGTACTCAAAATATTTAAGTAATTTAATCTAAGCTAGTAATGGAATGTTGTGCATGGCCAGTTGCTACTCTGAAATTACAGTGATGTGCATGGCTATGAGGCTTCAGACAGCCCCTTGGCTGGCGCCTGCATTCACACAACTGTGAGCAGCTCTCCTTCCCACCCCAGTTATCTTCACACTTTGACTGTTCTGTCGTGCAGAGGGTAAGAGGAGCTGGTCTGGCTCTAGAGCTGGATGTTTCCTTGCTGAACTCTCCATGACCAGGCTGGAACTAACAAAGCTCATGTGAGTGTGTGACTGACAGCCAGGCTTTTGGCTGTCTGTATATGAAGGTCTGCAATAGACAGTCTTTGCACCATGTCACGGAGCTGATGCAGAGCCTTCATTGCCCAAGCCATGTTGAAATAACTGCCCCAGAGGAAGGAAAATAAATTGTAGACAACTCTGGATGTGCTTGTTATACTGCACAGCTCTGCAGTATAACAGGCCTTAGGGATACTCAACTTCAGTAGGTGACTGGACCCCAGTAACAAAGCTGTTCAGAAAGCTGTCTCTGAATCCTTTAGCTTGAGTTGGAAGGTGCAGGATCACAGCAGCTTCTGCAATGAGCACAGAATATAGGCTGCTTCAGAAACACAGGCATTCATCAAGCTCAGCCCCATAGGAATTCCAGTCAGGTTTTGCCAAGCAGCTCTGTGGTGCCCACAAATCAGCAGTATCTGAATCTCTTCACTATCTAGTTAAAAAAATAAATAAATATATATATTGGCCTTGTCACGGCTCTACAGATCTCCCCAAACGACATGGGCACTGTAACTCCTGTCAACTCCCATGTGTTTTCTCCCACATAGCACAGGAGAGTGGGCTGCTTGTGCTGGTAAGGGATTTGGAGTTGCTGAAGCAGCTCCAAATAGGTGGCTTTTGGTAACCACTTTTCAGGCATATGAAGGTTTAAGACCTGCCGACTCAATCTTTCCTATGGGAAATGCAAGGTAGGTGAGTGCCGCCTGTGGTCACAGGTCTGTCACCCTTAGAAGCACTGCTTATTTCTTCTTTCAGAGGGTCTATTAAAGGTGAAGATGGCCAGAGCTGAGCAACAGCTGTAGTAGCAGAACTGTCTTTATGTGTATGTTTGGTAAGGAAAATTTATGGAAACGATCAAAACATACACAACTTAGAGGCTCATGGATAAAGGGGGCACTGGGAGATCTTGTGGCCATAAGTAACTTTAGGTAAGTACCCAAGAAATATGCTTTCCACTCGTCACAGTAAGTAAGCAGATTAAAAGAGCAGTAGGAAGCCATTGGTAGTACTGTGAAGAAACTCGGTGAGCACTGAATAAGTAACAGAACAGACAAAATGGCCACTGTTCTCATTACAAATAATTTCCTCTTTATGGCTGGTGTTTAAAAGACAAATCAGGCTAAGGATGAGTGACTTTTATTTTTCATGCTGCATTATCTGATCTCACTAGCTACAAAGAAAGAGGCAAGGGATAGGAAAGCAATGGGTAGAGGGCCAGGAAGGCGACTCCAATGCTACCGACAGTAAAAAAAAGTTTAATTAATGCATAGCACTGAATAAGTAACAGAACAGACAAAATGGCCACTGTTCTCATTACAAATAATTTCCTCTTTATGGCTGGTGTTTAAAAGACAAATCAGGCTAAGGATGAGTGACTTTTATTTTTCATGCTGCATTATCTGATCTCACTAGCTACAAAGAGGCAAGGGATAGGAAAGCATATTGCAGGGAGAGTGGCAGGGGGAAGCACTAAAACTGACAGACAATAAGGCGATTCTTGTTGCATGCTTTGTCATTCCAAGTGCCATCAGTGTACATCTCCACACATGCCTCTTCCCCTTTGCCAGAAGGTTCATTTGAATGCCAGTTAGTATAGCTCAATTTGGTGCCATCCAGGAACTGAAATTTGCCTGGAATTAGAGATTCCTTCATCCCCAGGTAGGCATAGGTATTAAAATTTTTCACAAAGTGCAGAATGGCATCATTCTCTCCTGGGTTCCTCGGCATGGCAATAGACCCTCCAGCCTCTTTGCAGGTTTTCAGTGTAGTGTCGTAATCAGCTTTTTTGCCATTGGTAGCAAATATTTTTCCTCCAGATCCTGTTATCATATTTTCCAAGCGGAGTACTGCAAGATGAGGTGAAAGCTGTTAGATTTGTTTGCACTATTTTGTTGTCCCTTTGTTGCCAATTGTACTTTCCACTGTATTTCTGCATAACTAAGGAAAAAGCTAAAGGAGAGGAAAACTTGAAATCGAAGATAAGAAAGGAAAATAAAAAAAAACAACCCCCAAAAGCCAGAAGAAATCTGAAAAGATGAGGGGGAAAAAGGAAAAAACACAAATATACAGACAACAGAATAAGGGAAACACAAAAGAGGTTGAATAAGGAGGGAAGAAAATAAAGAATTCTGCGGTTGGAGAAAATATATTATTTTCTTGGAGTCTGTGCACTGTATGAGCTCTCTGAGCTGGGTTGCAGTATACAAGGATAAATATCAGTCCCTGAGACAGTAGGATCTTAGGTATGATTGGGTTGTGATTGTTTTGGTATGGTTTTAGTGTTCAGTTGGTCTGTTAGAAGCATGAGGTGTCCATGGAGCACTTTTGCATAGGCAGGAATTTAAATCTGATCAACTTGACCTGCTTGCACCTATGCTTCAGAGCTGTTACCTAGTCATCTCCTACTAGGTTAGGAAAAACTAACCCCTCCCTGCCAGTTAAAAATTATCCCTCTCCAATCTCTCAGCAACCAAAACACAAATGGAATGTAATAAAACTGCAGAAAATTCTGCTTTTTCCCTAAGAAGCCATATTATTGATCATCTTGTTTATGCTTAGCAATTCAGCTACAGCAGAGGTAAAGGTAGATAAATTACCTCCTTCAAGCTGGGAGATCCGATGTTCCAGTTGCCGGACAACGCCTTCTATTTCATTATTGTTCAGTGGCAGGCAATCTAGGAACAAAACCAGCAATCATGCACTTGGTGCTACAGCTCAAATCTTACCTTTCAAAATAAAGTGGAGTTAATAATGTGAAATTAATTTCAACTTTTAAATTATTTGTTTGACCTCTTTTAGTTTACTGCTGTTTTGGGGATATTTTCACACATTGATTGTTGTACGGATAGGGAATAAGTTCCTGGAAACTGCCTGCACAGCAGTGATGTTTATGGAAAACTGGAATTAGCAAACTGAGTTCACTCTCTTAAGTGACTGAGCCAGTCCAGGCAAAATCCTGGCACTTATGCAGTAGGTTTAGTTGATTTTTAACTGTGTCTAGAGATTGATGACAGAATCCTTCAGGCTGTTCAAGCACTTGCAGCTCCAACTTAACACCAACTACAAGTTTCTTGTGACCTGTGTTACGGAAAATGATATCCTGTGAATTGAACCAATGTGTCATTAAGTAGAAGAGATTTAAGCATCTTTTTTCATACAAAGAATTAATAAAGATCTATGGATTTCTATGAAATGGAACCCACATCAGATTATACAGCTTAGCACTGAGTTTACAAAGCATAACAATACAACACAACAGTACATCTAGATAAAAATGGAGATGGTAACTGCATGTACCTGGTAGAAAACATTACTTTATCCCATATTCAGGCAAGAGCACAGAACCATGCAGTGGATAAATTTCTGTAAGTTTACCTTGAGCATAGCATGGGAGCAGGAAAAACGCGACTCCTAAGATTTTGTGGAACAATTGTGGAGACAGCATCATTTAAAGCCAGCTGTTAATCAGACTGTGGTTTACTCTCCAGTGTAGAGTCCTGTGTTTAAAAAAAAAAAAAAAGACAATTTTTCAGCAGAATGTTGCTGCCTGCAAAGTCAGGTTATTTCAAGTAATTTCTTCCAAAAGACACAATCTGTTAGTCTACTTAAGAGTTCAAACTACAGAGCAAAAAAAACCCCAACATCGACTTCAAAGCTTCACTTTTTTACCTTTTTTTTTTTTTTTTTGAAAGCAAATATATGCCATTTTCCCCATACAAAAAGCTACAGCTTCAGTCTTAATTTTACCAGGGATCAATAGAAATGTGTCTGCTTTAGTAAGAGAAAGCCAGTTCAAGATGAACTGGGACACAGTCTTTATAAATTGATTTAGAATTAATTAACAACAATTGTTAATGCTTATTCTTCCATTATGGCATCAGTTTTTGAAGTCTCTACACCTGAGGTGGTAGCATCTGTAAAAGTAGGGAAAGTTTTAATAAACACGTTGAGACATAAAGTAAAAAAGTATAAAATGAAACGTTAAGAGGAAACAATATAAATGGAAACATATTTAAAGATGTTTAACTTACCTAGGGCTCCAATATGAAATACGACTTATTAAATGATCGAATTTATAGGGGATGTAACTTGAGATGGATCCTATTACCCACAGTGTATACAGAGCATGTAATATGATATGAATTTGCATATGAATAGAAATTTAATAAAATTTAACTTGATTGATCGGGGTTTTTTTTCCAAGAGGTCAACATACTTAAAATATGAGGAAAATATTTGAGGGTACTTTCATGATTTGTAGAAACACTTACACACATTTAAAAAACACCAGCCCTGGCACAGAACAAAGCAGTTTCTCAATACATATTTGAAATGCCTAATGTTGCCACAGAATGGCTGTGTAAATGTTAAATTGTAAATGAAGATAAGCCAAAACAAGGAGTTCACCTGAAATATATTATGCACCAGGAACACCACCATTATTTTCATTACAGACTGAGGCTTTATCAGTGATAATTATTTATTTCATAACCAAATAGAATCACAATGTAGCAGCAAAACCAAAGGACAATGGTACATCTGAAGCATACGCAGAGATAACAGCCATAGAAGCACATACTTAGATAACCTACAGAATACTCCAAAGGAACCATATATATCCTAAATAGTAACAGTTTTACAGTACTATATAAGTAGTATGATTTTATCCAACAAAACAATGACCCTTCAGTGGAAGAAAAAGCTGCTCTAAACTTGTTGTGTAAGTACAGAGGCCTCAAGATGTGGAGCATCACTTGATGGAAATGAGTTGCCAGGCAGTTTTAAGTTATTCTCAGCTGAGAGTTTTTTCTAATCGAGGTTTTTAGGAAAGGAGTTTCAGGCTCTGCTCCAGTTCAAACAAATAACATGTGGTCCCATCATCCCTGTAGAGTCAGGCCAGCGTGCTGATATTGCAGCAAGGCTAACAGCTGAGTCAGTTAAGGAACAGCTGCTTTGAGATTAGACAGGGAATGTGAGCGACATCCGTATTGGTCTTAAGATGCTGCTGGAACTAAGCAAGCCCAGATTGCCTCCACAGGCACTCTGCATCTGCACTCTGCATCTGTACCCTGCACCTTCACACTTGCCTCAACAACTGATGTAGAGTCCTTTATCATTGGTGTTGTGCCCACAGAAGCCTGATTCATTCCTGTAGCATTGTTTATTGAGTGCCCTGGAAAAGGCACCAGTTCTGTGAAAAGCAAACAAGCAATGCCCAGTTATATGTACCTTGGCAGGAGAGGGCTGTTTAAAATTTGTATGAGCAACCTTTGTTTAAAGTTTCTTGTTAAATTTCAAGTTTCTTAGCTTTTGATTGTTTGACTTAATGCTTTTAACATTCTTTTGGCTGAAGTTTTCTAATTGTTTCATGGAAGAAAACCACACCCAGAAAATATGTGACAAGCCATTACCTGGAGTCCAGATGAGTCCTAGGAAAGGTCACTGGCAGAACCTGGGTGTTTGCATCCATGGTGAGAACAACTTTAGCACTTCAGCTGCATTTGGGAGAAACTCCAGGTTAGAAAAGTGTGAGAAGAGGATGAGGCTTAGCCTCCATTAGTGAGTTTCATGTGCTGACTGATAGCCTGGGAAGCCTGGAGGGTGACGGACTCCTGAGAAGAATTGATGTAGACTTGATAAATTCTAAACTTTTCTGCTTTTGATTTTCATCAGCATATTGATAAGATGAAGCAAGCTGAAATAGATATTTTAAAATAGTTACTTTTCTACTATGCCTGTTTATGATTGCCTAATAGATTATTCTATTAACTATCGTAACTTATAAACTGATATTGTGATCTTGTTTGAGCCACGTATGACAGAAGGTCAGCAAGAATCAAGTGTAAAGATCTTGTAAAGAACAAATAATTTCTGAGTGTTGCAGTTAACTTTTGTTCTGTGTTTCCACAGCTATCATTAAGAGGTTTTATAATTTCAGTGCTAGTAAAGCAAATAAAGGATATCCTGAGAGTAGGTTGTATTGCACAATCTAGGTAGGTAAATACAAAACATGCTAAGAACAAGAGTTGGTCAACACTGCTCCCTTTGCTGCTTCAAGAAATATAGTCACTAGAGTTGAATTTCTGTTTATGAAAGTGGGTGTGTGTTACTTCCAAGGAGCCTGTTTATTAGCCTTTCTTTTGTATACTTAACCTCCTGAAAGTTACTTTTTTTCTTCATAGTGCTAGTCACACCTCAGATAATCTTGAAAATTCTGTTTGTATTTAAATGGCTCCAAGTACACTTATATTTTCTGTTTATATTGATCTTGTGCTGTTCTGCTGCCCTTTCCATTGTACCTTGCTAGCACCTTGTCTTGTGCTTTCTGCATTTCCTTTTTTCTTCCAAATCACTGTCAGACTGTCCCCAGAAGCTCCCTTATGTCTGGAAGTATCAGGAAGAGCATAGCACATTCAGGACCTAGCGTCTCCCCTCCTCAGAGGAGGGCTGAAGCTTTTTTTTCTGTGTTTTAAAAAGAGGAAGCAAAGAATTCAGCTTGATTGAACACCTAGGATGATGAAATTCAAAATTATTATTATTTTTTAAAATTTTGACCAGTATTTTAGAGCAGAAAGTCTTAATTTTACCTGTAGACAGTGTGATCAGTGCTTGTAAATCCTACTGCCATCTTGCTCCACTGACTTAAGTTGTGTGAGAAGGATCCAAGTGGAGGTAACTAGATGTCTCCGATATGTATGTCACTTGGTGCAGCTCAGCTGAAAACCACAAAACTCTTTCTGTGTTTATAGTAAACAGAAAGCAAGATGATGTGTTATCTCTTCAATAGCTGTTAGTAGTAAAACAGCATTCTAATGGGAGAGAGAAGAACCCTCATGTTCATGAACCAGATGAAACTGTTATTCCGTCTATTCTGCAGTTGTCCTCCATTAGCTGCATATGAAGCTTAAATTGTTCATTACATTCTTTACTACTTCAGTTACCATTGCTGCAGCCTCCTTAAGGGTTAAGGTAACCTTGCTGTGCAGTTCTTTTTGGCTCCTGAGCCACAAAGGCAGAGATGGGTGAAAGTTTCATTCCAGGTCTCACTTGGCATCACACCTGGCTTATCACTCTCGAGCCAAATGCTGCCAAACCCAGGTTTCCTAACAGGGACTTCAACACAAATCCATGTTTCCTTATAATTTTTAAAGGTGCTACTCTTAATTTCTGAGCATCTGATATTGATTGTGCTTTAAACCCAGGTATGTTAGTTAACTGTAGGTAAACAGGATATTATAACAGTACATTTCAACTTCTGCTAATGAAAACCACTTGCAATCTGACACTCTCTGAGGTCCAGAAAAACACATCTGTTACACCATTACACAATGCTCTCAAGAACGTTGTTTTCCTCTGGTTCATGAGCATTATAATAGGGCCATTTTTCTTTCTATCACTTCTTGCTGTGGTTTCAAAACCAGCTGACAAATTTCCTGGTGTCAAATACTTCTTCACCTATTTGCACTTATTGTTCTTCCAAAGAAAAGCTGCAAATAAATGTAAATCATATGATCAAGCCTTACCCTACTTCGTGTTTGCAGCACTGCTAGGATATTGTGGCAGCAAGCACTGGTGTTTTTCCACCGTATATGTTCTTCTCTCTGGAAAAGAACAGATGAATAACAGTCATTCTTATTTCTTTAAAAATAATAATAAAGGAGGCAGTGGTCACAATTTATCCCAGATAAGTAGCCCTGCCAGTCTGGGTCACATACTGCAAGTTACTATGTTCACACAAGATTGAATTTGAACTCAGTTTTCCCAAGAGCCATGGGGTTTGGTTTTTAGCTTTTAATTTCTATAAAAATTAGGAAACCATAAAAAAAAAATCTTATTTACTGTAATTGAAGGTTGCTTTCCTTACATGTAGTAGGGATTGATAAAGGAAGGGGACAAGTTTTTGAGTGCTCAAAATGGCTAACAGTATTTCTAAGGTAAAACACCTAATTAGATTATACATTTACAAAAGAGGATATTACTCTAGTCCAGAAAGAATTGTCGCTGATATCAGTATCCATAATTTTTATGGCCAGACAAAAATCTTACCATTAAATATATACTGTACTAACAATTAAATTTCTCTTATATGATACACAATTCATTTGCTTCAGAAGGGACTGAATTTTTGTGACCTTTTAACTAATATCTTAACTGGCAAAATCTACTTTTATAGTATTTGAGGAGTAAGCTATTTCCTGAATTAAAGATCATACTGTTAGATTGCATCTCTGTAGCAAATTATTATAAATTCAGAAAAAAACCCCTAACCTGGGTTTTTTTCTGATCTGTTCATTATGCACCAGGGATTATCTTTGCTCATTGCATTTTTAAGGAAAGATTTTATCAAAATTATTTATCCTATAATAACAGAACAGAGACACAATTCTGTTTCTTCTTCTTCCTGACCTCTCTGTCCAGTAAGAAAAAAACACAACACAAACTAAATGCAGAATTTTGATCTTTCATATAAAATAAACTGAAATTACTAGAAGTGTTTTAAACAGCATTTGTGGGTTTACATTGATAGGGCTATACACAAATAGTAAAAGCCATCTAAAAGAACAAACAAAAAATATTTCTGGATACTTTTCTATTCCTCTATGAACTGCAAAGAATAATTAAGTAACATTCTACTGAGTATGTACCTTCACCAGAATTGTAATTACCACTAATGAATGCCATGAGATACAAGTGTGTTCCAAGCCTGTCTGTAGAATATTGCTTTTATTAGAGAATTTTATTTCTTCCATATATGGTGGCCTTTTTTTACTGAAGTTCCTCCAAGTTAGGAGATGAAAGTCAAGGCAAAAGGATATGGACAGTTTTTTATGAATAAGGTGGGAAACTGGCAGATGTCCTCTTGATATCTTCAGTTTTATATATGAGACATAGTCAAGACTTAGAACACAGAACAAGGATGGCTGTTTCAGAATGTATAAGGGGAAGGCTAGAGCATAGCAAGAGAGGAGCTGAGTATGTGGAGATATTTTAAGAAAATAACTGAGGAGTTTAATTCTATTACCTGAAATGTTGCAGATATCCATGCAAACCATAGAAGGGAAAGTGCTGCCTAGCAGTTCTTTGACTGGATCTGAGGATTTTTTATTTTTAAGCAGCATATGTGTTTCATTTTTTTGGGTTTTTTTTCTAATACTAGTGGTTTAAGCAGAAATAAATTAGATGCTGAGGCCTAGCCTAGATGCTTTGTTTATTGATGTAATAAAAATTAGCTTTTGACTGAAAAAAAAAATATCTTATTTTTCTGAAATGGATAAAATGTACCCAAGGTGTCTTGAAGTTTAAATCTGTTTAGAGACAAATGATATATTGTGTTGAGCCATTTGTGCAATTTTGCACAGTAAGGATTTTAACAAGAGATTTGTATAGTAATTTTGTAAACACAAGTACAGAGGGAATAAATTGTTGAGTAACTAAAGTCCAAACCTAGCTGGAGTTCTGTGTGAGTGGCTATGTGAATTTGTTTCAGATAATAGAAGTTAGTAGAGTTGTGGGGATTTTTTTTGTCTCCAACAAGACGCCTTCTTATGCCAGGTAATTGCTCTGACAAAGAACCTGTAGTGAAAGACTTAAAAATTGCTAACAAGGTTTAATCATTAACATACTAATAATTAAACACAAGAGGTAGAAGTAGTTTCAAGTAAAGTTGCAACTCTTTCTACCAGACTTTGTGCAGCTGGTCAAAGCTAAGCCTAGGAAAATTTGAAGGTATTAGTTTAGCTTTCTCTTTTCTCAAAGTAATCTGAGGGTCTTCCCATTGGATATTTTTGTCCAAAATGGTATCGTGGTTGTTAGTCTCCAAGGAAGCTATTTTTAAAGCAGGTTTACACTTTGAAATGGAAAAAGTATGCTGGTACCATGTTGGATAGATTTTGAAGTCCCTGTCCGCTCTCAGATCAGCAGGAGTGCCGTATGCAATGCTGGACATTAGTCCTCCACTGCCAAAAACAACCTCTTGTCTCCTGCATCTGAAGACACTAAAGGTTTTCCATTTGACAGGGCTTGAAATGATCAAGTGAACAGGTCCTCTCTCTTAATGTGGGCTGGGGACAAGGGACAACTGCATAGAGTCAAGTCCAGTTTCCTATGGGCTCCTTGCACAGACTCAAATATGGGGCAGGAGAAGATGAAGTAAACATGTTAATGTATGTTTTAACTCCAGGGCTTCTTTTTTTCCCTTAGTGTGAAAATGATAATGGATGAGCCAAGGACTCCCTGACTGCAAGGTAAGCATGTGAGATTTTTCCACTTGTGGTACTTTACTGAGCTTCCACTGCTCACCAGCTTCCCACGCTGTGTAGCAAGCAACAAACTTAGCGAAAAGACACTCCTTGATCCTGGCGGATTTGAATCAAGGTCTGAATGTGTGGTTGCTTGGTATGACATCAGCACAGAAACAGCATGTGTTTGAGCTTCTGGTCTTACCTGCTCCCCCCTCAACAGTACATGGTTATCTAGTGATCTGGGAGAAAACAGGTGGCCTTCTAACAATGCAATGGTCGGTTTTATGAGGGAATCTCCAGGTTTAGCAACAAAATGCAACCTTTAGTACTTTACACATGTATTTCTATCACTACGTGAATCTAACACAATGTTTATCTTAGTGTTAGATAGTAGCTTCTGAAACTAAGAAAATGAATTGTTACTGATAATGTTGATATTTTTATAAAACAGAAGTTAAATATGGATGCTGTATGAATCAGTGCTTGCTTCAATACAAGCCTTATAATTCTGAGGTGTACAAAACCTGAGACAATAATTTCTCCAGTAAATCCAACCTATGTGCATCTTCTTTGAGGCAAAAACTATTAAATGCTTCCACTGCAAAGCCATGGGCAATTTTAACTTTGGACTTTTCCAATACCCCAAGTCAAACTTTGGGATTTTCCTCTAATCTTTACAAAGGCACACTGCAGAGATAGTCTGCCATGAAAAATGAATTCTGAGCTATTCCCAATACTCCAAAAGACAGAAACACATCAGATTAGGCACATTTTAATTAAGTTAATCACCTATCACATTTGGCATTTTCTTAAGGACAAAAAAATACCGTAATATGATTAATTTTAGATTTTCTGACATAGAATAGTTGCAGAAATTGCATAAACCTAAGACGCAGCAGATTTAATTGTCTCCATACCCTGTGGTGGCAGAAAGGCCATTTTTTAAAATTCACAGACTGTGAGGCGATGCATGTGGCATCTTTTGTCATTCCAGCTCCCATCCAGGTACATCTCTACACATTTTTCGCTCCCTCTGCCATTAGGCTCATATCGGTACCACTTGGTGTAGTTCAGTGGCGTCCCATTTATATACTTAAATCGACCTGAAGTCTCACCCTCTTTAATGCCCAAGTAAGCATATTTTTTATACTGTTTCACAATATCTAAAATGGCTTTATTCTCTGCCTCATTTCTGGGAGTTGCAAGAGTTCCTCCAGCCTCTTCACAGGATCCTAGTGCAGCTGCAAAATCAACTTGCTTCCCATTGCTGGCATATATTTTCTCTCCTGCTTTACTTATTTTCCCTTTAAAAACAAGCACTAAAATGTGAAAAGAAAAAACCTAGTTAGCTTTTAAAATTTGTTATGGCATAATGATAAGAAAACAAAGAAAGAGAAATCAATAGATGAAAAGAAAATTTTGTGGTAAGAGGAAGAGAGGAGAGAACAGACAGAAAGAATAAGAGTAAAGGATGAAGAAGTATAAAGAACTTCAAAATATTACCAGTTCACTAAGTATAGTGTTATGGTGTTTGTCAATATCCATCATTGTCTTCTCCAAGACAAGGATACCCCACTAACATTTGCTACATACACAACCAGTCCTGTTATATTCTGTGTACTCTCTGAAGGGGATCAATTTTCTTCAAATTTGAGCAGTGAAACAGATAAATTTTATTTTTTATGAATTCTTTCTCAGTACAAAACAATTTACCACCTTTAGCAATTTTGCTGCAAATAGATAAAAAGGTTAGTGACATGGTACAAGGCTGATGTGTTCCCATGAATCTGGGTGGAAAGTGCAACATCGCATGGATTTTTTTTTTTGGAGTTTTTAATCAAATTTGAAATAAACACACATGTTCCTGAGACAAATCTGCTTTTCCAGAAAAATTAGTCCTGTACTCCTCTGCTTTGCATGAGAAAATGGAGCTTCAGGATGTAGAACCACTTTCAAGTGTGATTTATTTCTTGCAAGGCATGATTCTAAAATTAATTTTGCCTATTGCACTTTAAACTGTGAGCTTAGAAAGTAAAAATGGAAAAAATTACCCCGTTCAAGTCTGCAAAGTCGGTGTTTCAAATGTACCAAAATCTTGTGCAGTTCAGTGTTCAGAAAATCAGGAAGACCTACAAGAATAAAAATAAGTTATACATAATCAAGCAAAACTAGACTCTGCTGATAGGAACATTTCTTTGGATAAAACTAATCATTTTCCAAAACTAACTAGCACACAATGTGTATTTATTAACATCATGTGACATAAAATATATATTTTCTTAGTATTTTTTTCACACTGTTTACCTATATTAAAGCAAACAAAAATCTCCAGCCCTCTGGAATGCTGATAATTCCCCTCTGCACAGAAGAAAATTATTTCTTTTAGGTTGAATCTTTATGTTTGTCACATGTGTGAAAGTGGCTTTGCCAAAGAGAATTAATTTAATTCTAATAACTCTCCATAAAGGTAAATGTCTTTTTCATACAAATTTCCATGGGTAACAAAGATTCCACATGTAGAATAAAGTTAGTACTGTGCTCCCCCAATCATGTTCATGTTATTCTCAAGTAAAACAAATGGCAGTGTAGAAGTACAAAGTAAGACTGAATCTCCCTCTCGCCGAGTTCCAGTATTGCAAATCTTACTGCACTTCACAGTCAGTAAAAACCAACATATTTGACCCACTTAAGAGATTCTATTTGACTGACAGAAAATTACATGCATGAGCCTTTTTCAACTGGTGGTCCAATATCCCCTTTTTCTCCTTTCTTACCTGGCAGCCAAGGACGACGATCTCTTCCAGGAGGTCTTACAAGACCTGGAAAAGAGAAGCAAAATTTTCTTTCCAATTGTCTGAGAACTTAATGTGAAACTGAAATGTGTTACACTTATGAATAATTTTGATAGTGCTTTAGCAATGGTAATGGACCCAGAGAAGGCATTTCTAGATAGAAGGGAAATTACAGAGTGCAGAGAATGTTCCTTACCTGACTACTTTTCCACATACCTTCTCTGAATACTAGAGAAACATGTCAGAAGCCTTTCGATTTACACTTGTAAATACTGGAATAGAGTTTTCTTTATACTTAAAAAAAGGAAAATGCTTCTGCTGTGAAAGAAGCAATTCCCTTTAGAAAGTCAATGGAAAAGCAGTACAAGGGTATATATATTTATATGTTTAAGTATTTATAACCTGTTGATTTCCCCACTTCTCCCAGACGAGAGGAGACCTATATTCTACAAAAAAAGCCACAAAACCCTAAACTGCCCATTTCCTCCATTCATTTTTTCCTCCTCTGCTTAATGCAGCTGCTTCCTTGAGGGGACATGTCCTTCTGTCTTAGCTGGTTTTATTAATGCAGCCTACATGACAAGAATTTGTTGCAAAAAAGGAAAGTTTACTTACCTAGTACATGTGATTGTACTTCCTGAACAACTCTTCCAGGTAGTCCCACAACACTAGATATCTCATTATTTCCAAGACGCAGTGCATGGCAAGTCACTAGCAAAGTAGCTGTGAGCATGTAGGATGAGTAAAGGAACATGACTGCTCAGACCAACTATAAGAAAACCCACATCTTTGTCAGGCAATGATTCTGTAAGAATTGTAGGCAATAGCTTATATAATTTATCACTTTTTTTCCCTTTTCCCCTCTCCATTTGTTCATTCTTGAAATGTACATTCTTTTCTTGTTTAAGTCTATAGTCTAGATATAAGATATTTCCCAGACTTGTTTTGCTAGCATAGTTTCTAAACTGATACAGATTGGTATGCTCATTACAGAATGACAGCAACACATTTGGCAGTAGTGAAGACAAACTATTCTTATTGCTATTATTGACCGTTTGTTAGATAAATCCTTGAGAAATTATGGGCTCAGATGTAACTGATCAGGCTTAAGCCATTAGTTGTCTGTAAGGGCTATAATCACTCAATAAAACAAGCATATGATGCTAACCTGAAAGGCACAATCTGTTCCAGCAGTAGTTGTGATGGTTTGGAGCTAGTTAGCAATCTCTTTAAGCACAGTACTATTTAAGCACATTTCTTTGAAATAAGCAGACTGATTTAACTTTTTACACGTGGGCAAAATTTTATAGCTCAATTGACATTCCTGTCTTGTTTTGAACAAAATTCCACAAGCATGAAAATGGCAGTTAATCTTGCAGAAATGCATTTTTGCTGGTTGGCAGTAGGCCTATTTGTCTTGGTTTATCCTTTCAGATATAACATTAGGTAGGGTTATCATATCAATGCTGAGATACCATGACTAAAAAGGACTCTGAAACTACTGAACATGGGTTTACAGTGCAGCCAGTGGGTATCAGCACTGGTAACGCTGTGTGGTTATAAGACACTATAGCACGGAGACAGCTGGTTATTGGCATCATTCAGTTAAAATAGTGAGAGTTAAAGAAAGGTTCAAGATGCCAGAATGAGTATCCCTTTCTAATGAGATGATCCTGATGGGTTGACTCTCATACATACTCTGTAACTTAATACCCATGACTTCACTTTTCTTTGGCATGTATTAGAGAGGATCAGGTACTACACTCTCAAAAACATGAATCCTTAGAAAAAACTCAGAATTAACAAGATAATTTTAATTGACACATATTCTAAATCTAGCTCCACTTATGCTTTAGAATAAAATCTTAGTCAGCTTTTGTGCTGCAAGATTATTAACACCTCACTTCTTCAGTTAAAAAAAGGAATATATTTTGAAGCATACGTGCCAAGCAGAATCAAAATATCAGTTCATTATTATTACTGTTCATCAAATGGATACAATAAAACTACACTGAGCAATACCTACAAAGGTATTGTTTACATCTTCCAGACAGATCTATCACAGAAGGCTTTTAACATCAATATAAATTATTTTTAAGGTAAAGTTCATTTGTTTTTCTAGAGGAATGTCTCATTCAAATTAGTTCAGTGATTCCTACCCTTGAACATAATATTCTATTATGTTATACATTTCAGCATTTCACTGCATGTAGAATCTATTTAAGTAATAGCAGTGTCTATTCCTCACAGTCAAGGACTTCCACTTGAATGAATGGAAATTTCAAATCCACCTAAGAACACACGTAATGTATTAAAAGTGCTTTTGAGTTTTGTGTGTTGAATCTGAAGTGTCTCAAATTGTTTATGCTTTGCTATCTTGAAGTCTAGCAGACACGTCTAACAGTGCTGGCCAATGTCTCAGAGAGCAGATTATTAAAGCCCCTGACAGAAACCTAGCTTAGGTGGCTGGGAATACTTATGTCTCTGAGATAAGGAAATGTAATTACAACAGGTACTCTTCGTCTGGTACTGATCGTTCAGGGAATTACATTTGAATGGACTACTGCATTCAGTTTATAATTGGATTATGATGCAGAGTCAGAGTCCTGATCAGTTATATAGCAAAATGGAAAAAAACAGCTCTTCAGTTTTAACTGAGTCTAAATGACCTTCATCAGTCATTACAATCTGGTGTCCTTCAGGCATTTCCTCATCTAGAAAAATTGTTCATGTAAGCAAAATAAAGAAATACTAATAAAGTAAAATTTATTTTTAAATGAAAATATGACAACAGAAATGAAAATTAACAAGTTTGCCTTCTAGCTGAAGTTACTTGTGATTCATTAAAAGGAAATTCAACTTACCCTTCTGCTTCAAAGAGAAATGGAAGAGGAGTTCACACAAGTCCTTTTTATATGGCGTAGTGTTTATTAAATGTCACTGCAGAGGTGGAGACTGGATAATGAGGGCACAAACAAGCTTTTTTAGTTTGCTTGAACATTTGTTATGCAAATACTAAGAACAATTGTAAACATTGAGAAATTTCTCTTTTATAAGAATAAGAGGCCAAAGCTGGAGAAAAAAGAAGAATCTAGAACAGATAACTCCAGATTTGTATATACATACAAAATGTGTACAAAAAAAATTAAAGAAACTTTTGTGACTTTAAGAGATCTTGTAACCACCTTTTCTTGTTTCAAGAAAGCAAAAATGGCACGTGACCACCAGCGTTTTTTGTAGAAGGAAAAGTGCACTTGTTAATTAGGGAAACGCATTACCTTCCAGATAGAGACCTGATAATCAGACTTATGAACGTAGCTTCCAAACTCAAGTACTTACCTTATTACAATTTTCCAGCTGTGTATAAGCTCAATGTTTCTATGACCATCTGGTCTCTTTTGCATGCAGAGTACAGCTTATCCTCTGCTGGTTGGAGATGGGTACTGGAAAAATTTGTACAGATGCACAAAATCCTAAAATGGACAACATTTTCAAATAAAAAAGAGAACAGAGGCTTTGGTCCTCCAGTTTCCGAGCAACAAAGATTGGGATATTAATAGTAACTTCCTTCTGGTTCTGATGCCTTCTACTGTAAAGACATTTAGGTTTGATGCTAGCTGAGACTTCTTATGAACCTCAGCAAGCCAACACATCAGTTCCTCATCTGTAAGACAGAAGTACCTCTGCTTTACAGCTTGTGTCTGTTTTACCAATTTACACTGTGGTCTGTTAAGGATAGAATGGTTTCTACTTTTCATTTGCATTTTACTGAAAGTGCTTAAGTTTTGTCATGACCCCTAACTAGAGGGTCTTTCTACCCAGCAGAATTCACAGCTGCAAGGTAATGTCTTTAGGCTCCTTTCTCAACAACTAGAGATAGGTCTAATATCAACCGGCTGACCTAGCTAAGAGAAAATACTAGAGGAGGAGATGTGTTTAGGATCCCTCTTAGAAGTAACTTAGTAACTTATATCCACTTCCATTCCCAACTTGGAGTCTTCTGCAGTTAAAAGTGCTCACTGTGGTCTGTCCTCCCTCAGGGAAGAAAAAAAAATAAAAATAAAGGCAGCAAACTGAGGAAATACCAGTGTCCTTTTTAGAAAATGATCAATTAATGCTCGCAAATGTATGTTATGCAGCAAAGCTTTGAATGCAGGTTAGTAATTTACAAAACTTCTAAGCCCACCAGGTACAGCTTAGATAGTACCCAGCAGGGAACATACCTTGTTTCTGAATCCTGTAATTTGTGAATAGTACAGATACAAGGCAACTCAGCACAACCAAGAGATGGGTGATTTCATTCTGAATGGCAGCAGACCTCTGGTGTACCTACACCTCTAAAAATACCTGCAACTGCAAGATAAGATGAAACTTCATGGATCCAGATTTTGGAAAGTAATGTTTTATATTATTAGGTGCCCAGATTCTTAGGAATCTAACTTCCCAGAACACCATCTCATATAAATGCAGTTTCTAGGAAACCGTGCAACAGTTGTAATGGCTAATACTGTTCTGCAGTATCACTACCCACATACAAACTCCCCATGCATATATGTGCAACTTTAATACATGAACAACATGAATCTCTGCAGATTTGTACTATTTCTTCCACCTAACTCAGTTTATACTTAAAATTAAATAAAGAATTGGAAACATTAATCAGGGAAGTCAGTAATGCCCCACTACATACTCTCTGTGCATTCAGGAAAGTGAGAAAAATACTGCTTCTAATGGCTTCAGATGTAAAAAAAAGTTATAAAATATTATCTTTTACAAAAAAATTCAAAGAAACATACATTTGCTAACAGTTTTTATCCCATGAGTCATATTATTCTTACAAAATGGAAGCTGATCAATCTAAAACATAATCCAACGTGAGAGATTACTTAATCATTAGATTTACTTCCCTTAGTTATTGTGGCAGAGAATTAGGGAAAACACATATACTAAAATAAAGTAGAAAGCAAGTAAATATGTTTTCTGCACCCCTGTAGAAGAGGTAGGAGGCTTGGTATTCGAACATTTACATGTAAACCTGTGTGGCAGTGGCTGAAGATCTTTAGCTGGGTAACACCCACAAGACCTAGCCATGGAACTCTAGTGGTTTCAGTGGGCTCCAGATACTGCATCCTTCTTTCTGTCATTAAGTAGAACAACAAGATTCCTTCTAATATCCCCATGTCCATTAAATATGCTGCCTTGTTAATGCCAGTGAAATAAACCCAAACCCCACAATGGCCTGCTCAACTATTAGCAAAGGAAACCTAAAGTTAAAAAAAAGGGAATCTGATTTTCAAAGACACTGTGGATCCAGAAAAATTATTTCTTTATATAGGAGCCATCTCAAACAAGGTAATTAGAAAACTAGTAACTGTCAAGGTGGCTTCAAAACCAGAACAAATTTTATATAGACTTCAAATCTCTAATTTTCAGAGAGCAGGGTGAACTATCCATTTTGCTCAGCAGACGGTTTTGACATGAGCTGATTACTAACAACCTTATCATAGCCCAATCTGCACAAATATATGCTGCACTTTTTCAGATCCAGTGCAGTGCTGCACAGCTATGCTACTTTACTTCAGCAATCTGTGAGACAATAATCTTAAATGTGTCACTGTGCTGCAAGTTCCTGGTATCAGCTCTCTGAGCTTGTCCTTGGCACAGCATCTGTGTGGTGTGCAGGTGTGGTCAACTCTCTATCTTTACCTTGTTCAAAAAAACATTAATTTTTTG